CATATAGGTTGGCCAAATATATTTGCTTATATATATATACATATAATGTTGAAATAGAATTAAATGAAAAATCAATATATGAATAATGTCCTTTATACTAACTTCTATTTTCACTAAAGTATAATGTAGTAGTATATTTTTTGATAAACAAGGATATTAATTATGGAAAACAAAGATGGAAAGTCTATATAAAAATGATATAAAAACAAAAATGAAAAAAACAAAGATAATAAATTTCATTTTATAAAAAACAACAAAAACAATAACACTTTTTCTTCTTGAATTTTAAAGTTTCATATTACACAAAAAATATCCTTTTCTTTTTGCTCTTTTTATACATACATACATACATACATAAAATACATAATATTTAAGGAAATTTATTTAGTCCTTTAGTTTTTTTCTCAAGTCTTTTTTGTTTTTTTTTCGAACAGGATAAATTTAAATTGTATATGGTTGATCACTGGTGTTATACATATATGCTTCTCATATTACTAATATAGAATATAATTTTGTGTTGGTATAAATGTATATGTAAAAAAAAAATGGAAAAGAAAAATAAAAAAAAAAAAAACCGTGTCACATTCTTTTTAAGGGCAATGTTCTGTAAACTTTTCAAATTTTATAAATTTTATACTTATATAATAATCAAAAGACCTTGAGGTGTTTTAAATTTGTTACACATAAAACACTGATTCTCTCATTTTCTCATATAATATAGTAATAATAATAATAATGTAGGAATTCATTTATATATGTATATAATCACATAGTCACATACCTATTTAGTATACGTATATAGCTTATAACACATTGTAAAATGTTTATTGACTTGTGTATTTTTAATATATATATATATATATATATATATATATATATATATAATGAACATCTTTTGGCCGTCGACCTATTTTCGTATTATCAACATACAATATTAGAAATTTGTCCGGTGTCTTTTTCTCTTCAATCTCTTTTCAACATGATATTAATATTTTTTGTTTTAAATAAGTATTTTTAAGTTAAAATAAGATTTATTAATTTGATTCAATTCATTTGTCTGTCTGATTAATATTCAAATATTTTTTTTCAGATAACTCTTTCCTTAATAAATTGAGTAGAAACCTGTTGGACTCCAGAAAGAACTTTCGGCCTACTGAAACCGGCTCATCTTTCTTATAAATTTCAGTTGGAAGAACTACCGGGCTTTTTTCAGGTTGAAAAAAGTTATTTTTAATATTCGTGTTGTTCGAGATGGTGTGACAATACCGCTTCCGTCTTCCTACAATTCAGGTTAAATTTTCTTATGTATCGCTTTGAATTTATAAATAGTGCACGGCTTGTACAAGCAGGTATTTCAGTTCAATTTAGCAATTTTTATTATTATTATTATCTCACTCAAAAGCTGTGCCCGAACTATAAAGTAGCTTCGTAGGTAAAGTGTGTACGAATCTTCGTATTGTGTAGTATTATTTTGTGAATTTTTAAAAATGGGATGCTCTTTACAAATTCAAGACTTGATTCTTACTAGTTATTTTTTTTATTAAAATAAAAACATTTATTATTGCTGTCCCTTTAAGACACATGCGATTTAATTTAAGCGAACATTAAGGAACAATAATAAATCGGAAAATATAAGAAAACGAAGATGAAAAAAAAATTTCAAATTTCATTTTATGTGAGTTTTAAGGACTAATGTCAGTCATTAATACCAACATTATAACAGTGTTATCATTTTCTGTTATCGTTTTTTTTCTTATTCAATTTTAAGATTAAAAAGTAGGAAATTTAATATTACATTATGTACTCTTTGTGTTTATGTAAGTTACAATAAATAACTTTTATTATATAGAGGGGTAGTTGGAATTTAATTTATGCTATGTAGAGACTTGATTCGAAGAACGAATATGTTTAAGAATGTACGAGTATGTGCATTTCTGTAACAAAATTTTGCACATCAACGGAGTTCTCGACATTATACACTTATAAATTTTTATTAAATATAAATGTTAGTAGATTTTATATTGTAGAAATTTCAGTTAAAGTTTTAAAAGAATTTAATGTTCATCAAACGTGAACTGTAGCAATTATTTATGACTATGTTCTCCTAATATAACCTGACCATTGGTGCAGTGGTTATGGCACCGGTCCTTTAACCGAAGGGTCTTAGATTCAAACCCCGGTCAGGTCACTATAAAAATTATATTCAATATTATATAGCTTAATATACAATACTAATAAATATTATACAAGTAATTTTCAAATATTCATAATATTCGATACTAAAGACTAAGAAAAATATACAGTAAATATTAATAAATTGAAATATTTAATATAAATAAAAACTACGGTATGCTAGTCACCTACCTAGCTAACTCTCTATGACTATAGAAAGTAGGGCATGATAGATATTATGTACCAGCCCTATACTCCTCCTAGGAGTGAAGAAGGAAAAAAAAAAAAAAAAAAAAAAAAAAAAAAAAAAAAAAAATGTTCTCCTAATACTCTTCTTCGGGAAAGTATCAGCGAATCAGGTTTTCAATTCGAATCCGCTCCGCTCTGCTTGGAGATGGCATTCAAAATTCCTTCAACTCTTTAGGACTGCGTTATTTATCTTTAAGAGATGCCTGCATTCTAGGAGATTTCTTAAGATAGCGATTAAGATAGATATCCTCATATTTATTTTTAACTTAAATTTTAAAATTGTAAGGGTTCGAAGAGGGAATAATAATTAAAATTTGTAGATTTAAATTTTATGTCTCCCAGTAGAATGGAAAGAACCGAAGCTCGTAACAAGATCGGTCACAAAAATAATTTAACTTTATTTCGAAAAATATTCAAACGGCAACGCACCGGATTTAGCACAAACAAGGTCATTATTCAGCAAATAGTTTGCATACAGGGCATCTAGTCAATAATTCGTATTGGTGTACCACAGACTGGGCAAGATTAATTTGTTTTCTTAATTTTTCATTTCTTTCTTTAAAATGTATTAAAATTTTAAAATTCAAAATACAAAAATTCTTATATTATAACTTATTGTTAATATTTAATTTAATTTTTAAAATTAAACTTTATTTGTATATAAGAAATAAGAATTAGAGTATTTTGAAAGGAAATTAAATTCAATTGAAATTTTTGATGTAAAAATCCTATTGAGATTTTCTAATTTATTTTAATATTTGCGACATTTTTAAAGAAAATTTTTTAAAATCTAGTTGTAGGTACAATGTACAATGAAGTATTTTTATTGTATTTAATAATTTTTATACAATTTTTAATAAACATCAAATATTTTGTTATACATAGTTTAGTCTTTATGATTACACAGTATTTTTCTTTTTTACTCATATTGTATCTAATTGAATAAATGAACTAAGCATGAATCTAATTTATTATACTTAAAAAAATATAAACACACACAAAAATATTGTATTAAAAATTTCTTCATATATGTTTGGTTATTTTTCAGTTTGTTATATACCTATACGGTACGTATGTGCCTCCGAATTGGAACAGATGAATTGTGTACATTTTCTTATCTTTTTATTTTGTAAATACAGTCATTTAGCCAATTTAAATTAATTATGAATTTTTTTATTTTTTTTTTTTGAGACCGCAAATAGATTACAATTTTTCGATATTTTTTTTTTTCTTTTTGTTTGTGTATTTAAAATTTTTTCACATTTATTAATTTTCTCACAGGTATATGTAAATTAGTCTAATTTAATTTCCAATTTCAGTTCAATATCATGTACAAGTTTCTGTATAAATGTTTATATTTCTAGTCTACACTATTTTTTTTCACTACTATGTGAGATTTAAATTAATTTCAATAAAGTTTGCAGATTTATTTTGATTATTTTATGGTAGCAATTATATTAATTGCATTTGTAGCAAAAAAATGTGATGTGAGCAGGGTATATCGACAAAGTGTTGTATAATAATGTGAATTTATTTTGATGAAAATTAAATAATTATGATTTAAATATCATTTTAATGATGTTGGTACCAGTTTCTAAAAAGAAGAATTGTATTAATTTCTATTAATTAATTTAATTTTGAATATTTGTAAATTTACGCTAAAAAAAAGTATTCGTTGATTGAGAGAAATTGACTTGCGGTTCAAATAGATAGCTCTCTTTTCATATTTTTATATATGTATGTATGTACAATTTTTACCAAATTGCTAATTGATATGAGATATTTGAGATAAAATGTTTTCTAATTTTAGTAAAATATGTTGCACATAACATTATTAACTTATAAATATTTTAAGAAAACAAATCTTTGCAACATTTTGACCTTATACATTCGTAGGGGATACGTAAACAACAGGCAATTAACTTTTACCAAATCAAATTGAATTGGGTGTGGGAGTGTATACATGCGCTTTTGGAACTTGGTAGAAAAAATAAACCTGACGTTATTGAGTTAACAAAGAATCAGATGATTTTGTTGGGTTCGATCTTTTCTGTGAGCTTTCGAGTTGTCCAAGGTGTGTGGAGCGGAATAGCAGGACTGTTAGGGTCGGCCGCCGGAAATGAAACAGTTGAAGCTTTTCATTTCAGCTCCGTCTCTCAGCAAGGAAAATGAGCTGTTAACGTCTGATAACAATGTCGCAGACTGAGTTATCACTTCCACAAATTGAGATAATCTGTGGATCGTTTGTGTAAATTTTTCATGATAACGACTCAGCATATTTTATACTCAATGTTTTTTTGTAACATTGGCCAGATTGGTTCACTTGGAGGGTTATGTGGTGGATTCTTCGGACTTGTAGGAGGTGACGTTTCGATGAATATGTAACTACGTCAAGATTATAGGCCTAGCTGGTGTTTTATAAACAATTATTAAAATGCTTTATAACAATTAGGTTTTAATTCAATTTAAGGATGATTCTGCCAATATAAAAATTTTCAACCATAATACTGAAATAAGTGTCGCATATCACAATTTTTTAAGCATATAATAGTGTAGTAAAAACAATATGATATACTCACCTTTTTCAATTTCTAAAATATTAAAAATTCATTTTAGATTGTAAAGTATATTTTTTAAAAAATAACAAAGAATATATTATTTTTATGTATATTTTCTTGAACTTTTAAGTTTTTCTTATCCAAATTTTTTGAAAAATTACAAAAAATAAAAAAAAAAACGGAAAATGTTCTTCAACACTACGCACTCCCAAAATATTTGTTTTTTTAAGTTATTGGTAATTAAATTAAAGAAATATAAATAATTTTACTAAAAAAAAAGGAAAAAAATATAAAAAATTCATTTAAAATTAAACAGCAACACATATTACAAAATTAAATAAAAAAAAATTAAAAATTAATTACTAATAATAATTTATTTAAAAAAAAAACAAGAAGAAAAAACTTAAGAAAAAATTTCACATTTTTATTACAACAAAATAATCACATGTTTTGTTTTTTATAAAGTTTTGGGCATTAAATAAATTTTTAAATTTAAAAATTTTTAAATTTCTCAAATATTTTGTAAAAATTCACTTGGAAAACACTCATAAATGATAATTTTAAAATTTTTTGAGGTTAATTAAAAAAAAATATTTTAATTAATTAATTTTTACCATTTTTATTTTTTTTAATTTAATATTAAATTTCTATTTTTAATTGATAGTTTCTTGGCTTTTCATCATTGTGCCGAATAATTTTAATATGAGTGATATGTTCATTTTTTGTAATAATTGTTGATTTTTTAACAGTGTATAGTAAATCATTTGTTTTTGTTTTTTTTATAAAATAAATATCTAAATCACTCATGACCTATACAATAATAATTAATTAAATAAATCTATATATTATGTGATTTTAAGTATAAAAACTTGCTAAGTCGAAAAATTGTGTTTTGAGGAAATGTAAATTCGTGGCTTTGATTTTTTTTTAAAAGCAAAAAAAAAAACTCGTAGCTGCTTACGATTTTATTCGCATATATTCGAAACTAATTGGCGTATTAGATAATGTTTACACTACAAAATTTTGACATAAATCCAATAAAAAAATTCTAATTCCGACTTAGTCAATTTTTATAATACTTATAGCAAAAAAAATTTTATCAATATCTTATTAAAAATTTTGTTTCCAATAATTTTATTTCAATTTTATTGGTAATAGTTTTTTGTTATTTTTAATTCCTAATTTTTATTGTTTTATTAATTATTATTTGTACCGACTGCATTGTATACAATAAGAGAGGTTATGTGATAGCACCAAATTTCGAATGACGAGTTTGCGGTGATAACACACTTCTCTATAGTAGGGAAGCGCAAATAAACTATTTTTAGAGAGAAGTCGGTTTGTTGATTTGTGTATACATGCGTGTATCTCAAGCTCAGCTGAACCGCTTTTCATGAAATTTTATGTGAGCGTTTATTTCGGGTATGTCATAGATTGATCAGCTTAAGGGATATGCCAGGCTTCGGGAACTGAATTTATTTGCGTGAAAATTTTACATTTTATAAAATGTAATATGGCATGCAAAAAAATTTAGAATGTTCAATAAAATGTTCGTTAAAATAATGAGTCTTTAAATTTTTTGAAAAGATGAGGGCTTGGAAATCGAACTAGGGTTCGATTTTACATTATTTAACATATTTACGGAACGGATTGATGAAATTGCTTGAAATTCAATATTTGAGTTTTGGTTGCTACCGGCACTAACGGGCGAATTTTTTCAAGGAATTTGAAAGGCATAAAGCGAAATTCTCCTATGAGCTAAATTTATATTTTTCTAGGTATGTTAACTAAAGGCTCACTAGTGTCCTTAAAATTATAAAGAAGTGTTTAACACACATTTTCATAATCTTCTGTAATACTTTAACTAAATTAGACAATATGCATCGAGGTTGGTCATGTGTTGATCACATCAAATTGTTTTTTTTTATTGTATTACGTTGTTGATTTTATTATATTTGTTAATTTATTATATAGTATAGTATATTTTAGACATTTATCTTTTTATCTAATCGCTTTATTAAATTTTTATTACAGGAAGAGACAAATAAGAACAAAAAAAAAATTATTTTTGTCTTGTTAAACATATGAAATATCTGAAGATAGCGAATGATATGAGTATATATGCAAAGGTATGCTGTCAGTAATTTATTAATTATGATTTTATTACAGTAATAATTGAATTAAATTGTATATATAAATGCGATATATGCATATTGGCAAAGAAAAAGTGTTATGATCGAAATCAATTTAATTTTAAATTAAATTTTTAATTTATAAATTTCATCTTATTTTTATTCATTATTTTAAAATTATAAGTAATTTAAATGTATAATGAAGTTATATTATAAACTATACAAAATTTATTAATTTCTTTTATAATTTTAGGTACAATTCACCGCAATTCTCAGCATAATTTGAATATTGGAGTGATTAAATTAAACATTGGATTAAATTTTGCATTTTTATGCAAGTTTAATATCTCAGTTTTTGCAAAGCAAGTGATGATATTACGAAAAAAAAATAAATTTTTTCATAATTATAATGCTTAATTTTTAATGAATTTTGAGTTATACGAATTTAATATTTAACTACAGAATAATATTTTGTTCTTTATATTTATATGTAGTTATAGTTCTTGTGTTCCGTAATTCCGATAAAAACAAAAATTCTTAGAATTTTTTGAGGGTTGGCACAATTTATTATTTATTTAATATATGCAATTAATTTGTTTTCTCTGTATTTTTTTTTTTGTAATTATGATAGTAAATTTATTACTTTATTATTGTTAATTGCTTTAATCAAAATTTTTTTGATCTCATTTTTTGGTTCTTTTCGTTTTCATTAATAATTAATTATTGAAAAATCTATTCTAACAATAAATTTTAATATAAAAATTTTATTTTAATAAAATCATTAAAAAATAAATATTTTAAAAATTTGAAATATTTTTAATTTGCAAAGATGCAGGTCGGTCAAAAGAGATGGGATAGAATAAGTATTTCTTACTTTATCAATTTTAATATTCTTTCAATAATATTGTACATAATTCTATGGACTTTAATTCATTTCGGAATTTTTGAATAAAGCTTTGAGGAAATAAAATAAAAGTTTTATAATTTTTCTAATTTTATGAATCATTATTAAATTACATTATGAAAATAATATGTAAAAATTTAGTATAATAGCATAAAATTTAAGTATTTACGAAAACATACAAGGTTGAATTAATTTATTAGTGTTTTACCGTAATTTACACATATTGTTTAAATTGCTTTTGTTGCCATACTGTATGGAATAATAAATTATTTTTGCAATTTTTCGGTCCACAAAATTCAACAACAAAAATTAAATTGTTTTACAAAAATAAAAATTCACCATTAAAAAAATGGTATTCACAATTATTAATGTAGAGAAGGTAATCTAAAAGTAAAATTTAAGAAAAAAATTTTAAATAAATTAAAATCAAAATTTTTTTTTCTAATGTAAAAGTTATAAACTGATAAAAAATTCTGAAGTAATTTTTTTTTGTATAATTAAATTATTTTAAACCTTTTATAAACATATATTTAACCGTTAAATACCGTATAACTACTGAAAATATAGTAGACTTTTTGTTATTTTTTATTTAAAAGCATAGTCACAGAAAACCAGAAGAAAATAAAGAACATATGATTAAACAATAATATTATTTTTTTATAAAAGCATTTAATAAAAATTTAATGATTTTATTACATTAAACATTCTTTCAATGGTAACAAGCCATAAAATAAATGTAATGAATAATTGTCCTATGTTGTTCACAGTATAGTCACTCGAATTAATTTAATACATAAGTACACAAATTTTGAATTATAAAAAATGTAATGGTATCAGTAATAGCAACACTGTAGATTCTATAATACAATTATTCTATAGTAAAATTTTGTTATTACATTAAAGCGGACATTTTCATGCAATTAATAATAAGTAATTTATAGGTAATTTTAAAAATGATTGCTATTGCTGGTATTATAAATGATAGGATGAGTATATTAAAGCTGGTATCGTCGCTTCATTAGTAATAAACGTTTTGTTTAAAAATATAAGATCGTGTATTAAATACGGAAACTAAATTTATAGAGATAAGCACTTGTCGATTTCGGAAACAAATATGAAACTTATTAGTATAAATACTACTAAAAATAATACCAAAAAAAAAATTAAAATTAATTGTAATTGAAATTTTTGAAATATTTTTATAACCTTAAATATAGAAACTCACTACAGTATTTTTCTCACATTTAAAATATTTCGACTTGTGACCACAGAAAAAATATTTTTAAAATTAAGGTTTTTGTTTTATTTATTTTACAAAGTTACAATAAAACTAAATAAATATAATAAACAAACCAAATAAATAAAAAAAAAAAATTATAAAATAAAACTGAATTTTTCCAAATGTACGTATCTTGTATAAAAAAATTGCATCACTGTTGTTCATATTTTGTTTAATTATTTTTTTTTAGTTTTCTTTATTTCTTTATTTAATTCTCATTTAATTATTCACTTTTATCTTGTATATATATATCTATGTATGTATGTGGTAAACATATTTAAGTCTTATATATTTATGAATAATAATTTGTAATATTACTTGTTTATTTGTGAATTGAATATTATCAAAACCGTGCGCCACAATTATATCTTATCAAGAAAAATAGACGTATATATACATATGTATATTGTGGCATTAGCATGTAAAATAATATAGAATAGCCGACCAAATTTTAAGGTTTATAATTGTAAATTGTTTATATTAAATTATGATAAATATGTAAAATATATTAAAAGTGGTGAATATATATGGTTAAATGTACACATTTTTATTATATTTATATATATAAATACTATATGTATATATGTACGAATAATACAATATTATTCTTTATTATCTTTAGATAAAATGAATTTAGTTCGAGGAATATTATTCACGCACATTGCCCCATATCAATGATAAAATATCATTGTTTTACGGGCAGTAGTAGTAGTAGTTGTAGGTGTACGAATGGGTCGTTGTATTGTGATAGTAGATTTCTTGATAAAATAATTTTATGAAATATAAAAAAAATGAGCCAGATTATACTATAATAATAAGTAAAAAAAAATAATAATAAATGTAATTTATTATATTTTTTTTATTAAAAAAAA